CGTTCATTTCGGGCTATTTTATGCTTTTAAATCGCTTAATGCTTTTAACCAGTTGTGTAATCGTATGGACACATATTATAGGTATTGGTAATACTGTATTACATAATATACTATTATTACATGTACTGTACAAATAATCTATTATTATTATTATTACCGTCTAGTTTTCTCATTACTAAAACAATAATATCATTAATGTATTAATAATATATTCATTAATTTAATAGATTATAGAAAATTATAATAATATTAAATCAATGATATGATAAAACATATAAATATTAATATAATTAATTAATTAAATTATGTCGATAATGCTCACAAATTTATACCGTATTATTACAAAAAGATTTAATATATCTAATGAAGAAGAGTATAATTATATTGATTTTGTGGACTAAAATAGTACCAGAATTTGTATAAATCAGTCAATGATATGGAAATTAAATGCCGAACAAAAGTAAGTTTTCTTTTGGTTTTGGTCCGCAATTCTTGTTGAAATCAATTGATTCACAAGAGTTTTAATACATTTATTGTATTTATCTATCGGTGTATTGAATACCAGCACTGGGTTTATATCAATAAATAAAATGTTGTCAAAACTTCAACAGACGGTTCACTATTTGATGGTAAATACCATTATTTGAATTTCAGATTCTGTGGGCAAACAGACTATAATTCAAATCAAATATACTGTTAGCCAATGTGTGAATAATATAAAGTACAGAATAATATAAAGTAGATATAAACAACTGAATAAAGTCTAGACACAATCGATGGATAAATATTAATATATTTACAGTTTTTCAATAAAAACATTTTAATTTAATTTATTTATTATTGTACTTTACAAGTTATGGTTGTTGTTAACTTAATTTTAATAAATTATTTGATTTTTTGTGTAAATTGTAGATTAATATTTTGAATTTAAATTTATTAAGTCAGTAAATTAAATTTTATTTTTGTTGTATTTAATTTATTTGTAATTTTCATAATATTTTGTAAAATCGATAAAAAGCAGGTAAACAGACATTGGGTAAATATGCAAAATACAAAATATAATTAATAAATCTCATTTAAAATTAATAAAACTTATTTGATTTGTTCAAATGATGTCAATTCGTGTGAATTATCAAGTTTTCCAAATTCAGATAAAAACATATATAAGGGAAACAAAATAGATTTGGACTCATTTTGAGTGCCGTTCGGCAACTGTTGGGGCACTTGTGAGAGGGATGTCGTGCATATGTCTGACCCGTACTTCCAGTCCTTACTGCAGCCGAGGTCGAGGGCGTCCGACACATACGGGTCGACCACCCATTCCAAGAACTTCACGCCATTTTTGTCGCATACCTTTTTGGCCGACTCTCGGAAACATTTGAGCCATTTATCTGCCATACTATATGTGAAGTATTCATTTTGAATATGGCTATTTATAGTTATTGCAATTAAAATTAACATTAACTAAAGTTAATGCAAAAGTTTACATGCAGTTTACATTAATGCAATAGGTTTCGATTATATTAATTAACAAAATGTTGTTTACTAAATTAATTTGTTATCAAAATATTAACAATAATTACTTTGTCATTTAATTGTAAATCTATTGTACATCGAATGCATAAGTATGTAAACATATTTATGTATTTAGTGTTAGTATTTATAATTTTTAATTATTGTTAATATTTTTTATACTAAATTAACACTCAATTTGCAATAATAAGTATTAATAACTTGTAATTACGTATATATTGTCAATACTAGAGAAACCCTTTATTGTCTTTTGTATTGTTGTGAAGCACTCAATGTTCACATAAAATCTCATTAAGAATTAATCGACATTTTCATTGAAAATCTCATCAAATACTTAACACATATTTAAAGATAAAAAGTATTTAACTGATAATTCTGGTGAAAACCATTAACTCATGTTTTCAGTAAACAATGCGTTGAAAACTTCAAGAGCTGTACTAAACTTCCGAAGTTTTGTTAGAAAGTGATCATAAAAATGTGATAAAATGGCAATATTTTCCCTTCATTTATGAACCAATGCTGACGTTAACAATAAATACATTTGGGATTCATATTGATCTCAAATAAAAGTAAAATGTTTGATATTTGCATGATTTTTATATAAACTTAAAACAAATTGTAGATCCAATTCGTCATTACTTTCCATAATATAATATACAATATAAAAACTGGGAATCAATTCCAATGCATTAGTGTTTTACATAAATTGCATAAATTCTCATATACTCTGTAAACCAATACAAGTGGTGACCTATTTGTTAAATAAAACCCAATATCTTATACATGTTTGCATTAATACAATATTTTCGGTGCAAAACTAATTTATAGCGACGAATAAAACAAATAAAAAATGTTCCCAGAAATAACAATATACCAATAAATTGCACGGGAATTGTAGTAAAGTATAGAGAATTTAATAGCGTATAGTGTATGGTATGCTCACCAACAGCCGCACCGGAGCTTAAGTCTAAGATTACTTTCGTCGACGACTAGTATTTGGTTCATATCTTGTTTGAATTGATCCATACAGTCGTGTTGAGTGTTCACTGTCTTCACAAAACATTCCCGGTTTTTAAGGAAACGCTTCCATAGAGAAGGCAATGAAGAAGAAGGAGAAAAATAAGTTTAAAAAATGGCATTCAATTTGTGTCGATTAGATAACAAAGTTTTCCTTAGAAATAATGTCTTATAATTTGAACTATAATTCAATTTGATTCCCAAAAGAATAACTTAAATACATTTATCTTTATTAAATGGAAAAATGTGTGTAAATTTGATAAAAATATAATATATTTTGACCAATAATTCAATTTAATTCAATTGAGAGAAGATTGAAAAATAATTTGATTTACAGTCAAGTATTTTAAAATAAAAAACAATAAATACTTAAAACCGATTTTCTATACAAAATTCTTCATCTCATTCATAATTTCGGGAATAAAAACAATGAATAATATATATTTGAAACTAGATTTTGAATACCTGTTGCCCTTTGAAAGTGCAAAGAGATTTCCTGCTCTGTGTTGCGCCCGAAACCAATAAATTGAGGCACTGTTTCTCAAATGATTTCAGACATTTCTGTGACCACTGTTTCACACATTTCTCCGCCTGTCGGGTCTCCCTTCCCATCGCGATAACAAACATTACATTTTACACAACAATTATATAAATAGGCAAAAAATGTTGGCAACACTTACTGACAATATTCTTTCATTTCGGGCAAATTTCTGACCGAAGTCTTAGCGTTAATGTTTCGGTACCCAAACAGGTATAGCCGTTGAGCGCATTCATCGCCGTTAGTGAGACTGCAGTTATCAAACTTCCACTCCCGGGACGCTATAAAGTTACATAGTTTACACAATTCTGTAAATTCTCTCTCACTTCTACACATTTATTTATTAATTATCCATAATATATAATTAAATATGTCTAATGTATTAGTAACTATTTTGAGCACTAGGTTGGCTCAAACTCTAATTCTGTATCTTATTTATTAAAATAAATATACAATTCTTACCCCTTTTGAATTGCGCCCAATTGTATGGAAATTGTTGGCATAAAAATATCGCTACGATTACACTGTATTTCAATAACATTTTATCAACTATAATATCAAATCAATTTCAATTCAATATATACTGCAGTTATATAACACAGAATTCTTATAGTAAATCACTGTTCCTTCAGAAACACCAAATCTGTCGCTTATTTGTATGAATAGATCTATCATATGATATAAGTCCTAAGGAATGTCTAAAATTATTTTTAACATTCAATTCCAATGAAATATTGCTTTTTTATTTGTTTTACTATTTATGAGAAGTGAAAAATCAATTGTTTTAAAGTGGATATCGTTTGACTCTTTATTTTCACCTTACTCTCTCTCTCTCTCTCTAGTGTAATCAGTGTATAACATCTTCGGTCAT